CAGCCCCGAGTCTTTCCTTAGGCATTTTTTATGTGCCGGCCAGACAAAGAAGGCACAGTGCAAATAGGTGGGTTCGTGCTCTCAAGCAAAATCAGGGTGTTCATGTCCTCGGCTGCATGCTAAAAACATAGTCCACTGGAAGCCTAGGTGAGGGTGCCTACCATGCCATCGTGGGCCTGCCCTACAGTGGAGAGCCAGTCAGTCTTTTCCCAGGACAGGTGCTAGAAGGGTGTGATTGCTGAGGTATCGTCCATTGGTGGTTCCACATATGTATGCAAGATGCTAAAGCTGACCATATGAGCAGTGATGTCTGGGTTTGATTGTGGTGCATAGCTCCCCTGCTTTGGTATTGCACGGTGGTATTACACACAATAGCATCATTAGGGACCTGGTTTCCAGAAAGACCTCACAGGCGTTCTCTGTCCTGTTCGTGTAACTTCTCCTGAGTTCTAAGTAATTTTAAAATAAGAAATCATAACAATATAGACCACCCTCAGCCTTGGTCCAGGAGAGTTAGTGCCCAGCCCAGAGGCTGGCACCTAGCTCCCTGGAGTCAGAGTGAAGAGTTATATTCTTGTGTGGATAACTTCCGTGTGGCCCAAGGCAGGACTCTTCACCACCTACTTTTGAGTTTTCTCATCTGTTCTTCATGTGATGAAGTCTTTCAGTGGTACCCTTTATTCACATTTTCGTTTTCTGCAGCTCCAGTTACCCATGATCAACCACAGCCTGAACATATTAAATGATACACTGAGATATTCAGAGAGAGCACATTCATATAAATTTTATTACGACGTATTGTTAATAATTTTTCTACTTTATTCGTAGTCACTGTTGTGAATCTCTTACTGTGCTTATTGTGTACTTTGTTGGTGGTTTATGTGTAGGGAAAATGTAGCATCAGGTCATGGTACTGTTTTCATTTTCAGGTATCCACTGGGGTTCTTGGCTTGCTTGTTTATTTGCAGTGGATACAAGCCCACTGGAGCTCACTACACCTCCGGACATCTCTCTGTCTTCATTTGAGTCACCTGACGCATGTAGCATTACATGCATGTATAACTGAGGCACCCAACACACCTTCTGAGCTCTGAGCTTTGCTGGCCACTGGCTTCCAAACACCTGTGTGACAGGCCCGCCCTCCCCAACATAGCTCAGGGGCCACCTTTTCTGCAATGTTTTTTGCTGGCTGTTGAGACCAGTGACTGCTTCCAGCCCATGAGCGTTGCTCTCAGTTCCCACTTTTGCACATCACTCCTGACCCTCAACTTGACCTCCCAGCACCTGGCATCTGACAGGCCTTGCTGAGGCTCACAGGGATTGAGTCTATTTTCAGTCTAGATCTTGGAACTAGTACATGTCAAAATTAGGGATCAATATGAGTCATTCTGAACATCAAGAATGTAGAGGTCACCTACTCTTGCTTTCTTCCCAGGACATGTAAGTCTGCAGTGGAGTTAGCAGGAGGTCTTGATCCCCTCGGATTTTGGAAGGAGAGGGCAAAGGAGCCTGGCATTGCTCAAACTCTGGCTGGAGATGGGTGGGTCACAGTGTGCATTGACGGGAGAAGATTTCCTCCCTACCGAGAAGGAGAAGATTCATTTGTTTTCATTTTGTTTGTTTGACCAGGAAAGGGAGGAAGTGGGCATGTTAACCACCTCGGTGCAGTGTTCACAGGTTAGTCAGCCCATAGGCACCTGAGCACATCTGTTTGAAGGCCAGAAGGTGACCTAAACAAGACCTAGAGATTTATACACTGTCTTGCTGTGATTGTACTGGGTGACTGACCCTGTGAAAATGCTTTGGTGCCATCTACTGCTGTCCATGGGTGTTTCTCCAGAGTGTAAAAAAACCATCATAGAATGAAAGCTTTGGGGAAATGTTCAGATTAAATGGCATATGTGTCCTCATGGCCTTAAAATTTACAGGAAAAGTTTTGAATGCTTTTAGTAAAAGTTCTGATTGAAATAGCTTCTGTTTTCTTTTGCTCAAATCAGAATCTGCATGTACATTATTTCAGATGGATTCTTTCCCTAAGGAGATGGGCTATGGGGCTGGGCTTACCTGGAGGTGATGCGGGTTGAGCTTAAATGCAATGAGCATTCAGGGGCCTATGTGGGAGCCCAGTGTGTAGACTAGGGACGCGCACTGCAAGTGTATCTGGAGTCTGGGTGACCTCCTCAGACGTTTTTGTAGCAATAGGATTAGCCTATTTGGAGAACAAGAACCATTTTGAAGGCGTTCCTTCATTCTAAAATTTACTTCATGTATTCTAACTGTAGCAAAATCCAGATTCATGCATGTGGATTATTTACAACATCCCTGAACACTATTATTTAGGGTAATTCATTTCATTTTTCTGATTAGATAGCATTAAAAGTCATAATTGCCTCCTGGTTCAGTTAACCATCTTAAATTACAAATGAATTCCACTTACTGGAATAGGTCTGTTGGTAACAGTTTCACAGTTGCTACATCAGCAATGGAATGAACCTAAACTGTAATTGATATCTATTATCATGTAACCTAGTTCTGTAATCCTTCTCAGAACAGTAGCATGTGTGTTTCTGGAAGTCACAGACCATATCACAGTTTGGCACTTTTATCACAGTTGGAGAGAATTCTAGGATTTGAAATTCTAAAAAATTAAGAGCATTCTTAAAATGTAAATGCAGCAAGTTGTGAATCAGTCTGCCAGCTTAGTGATTAAGTTGGAGCGTCTTAGAGATTTTTTAACATTAAAAACAAATTACTCCATTAGCATTTAATCAGAATACACAAAATGGATCACAGTACATGTGAGTCTTGAACACCCTATGTATGATTAATGTCTTGGTTCAGGAAAGATAAAGTTTACGCTGCTTTTCACATAAACTGTAAGCAGTCATTCTTCTTATTTTTTATTTCTCTAAAGATATTCTCTCTTCTCTTTTCCAGTAGAAGCTTCTACTTTGAATGGTCCCTGAAGGGTATTTGTATTCAACCCCAAATGTCCCAGTGGTGATTATGTATAATGTTATATTCCATGAAATAATAAATTTCCTCCACTCTTTAACAGAAGTTAATTTATTAAACCATAAATTGTTCATGAAGAGGAACCTGAAGGTGCTGCTTTGGTTTCCAACAGACTCCAAGCTCTTCAAAAGTGCCTGTCCAGCTAAGGACAGGAATCCATTTGCATTACAATAGCTATGGCAGGCTGACATTTGCCAAAATAATTTGACCAGAATCCAAAAGGGCACAACACACCTTAGTTTTCCAAAGTGCAGATCTCTGGGCCAAAAGATCAGAGCTAGGGAAAGCTTCACAGGTGTCCGGTTTCCTTGCCACCCACTTCCTGCTCTATGTCGATATACAACTAATATATATGTATGTATGTATATATGTGTATGTATGTATATATATGTGTGTGTGTGTATGATATATATTTTTCTTTTTTTTTTTTTTTTTTTTTTAATCCACAACTGTCCGTCCTACCTGGTTGATTTTGCTATGGTTTCATCTGGAAGCACTGGAATGGATGGCCTCCCGGCCTTCACTAAAGAGGCTACAGAAGCACACACACTGACACTGCACCACATAGACTGTGGGCAGGCCCTGTTTCTCCCACATGTCACTCAGAACATTTAGCCCTGCCTAGTCTGACTCTATCAGGGAAACTGCGGATACTCAAACCATTTTTGACCTACCAAAATGGCAATTCACGTGGTTCAGACTGTTAATAAACACACACTTGACAAATACTCTTTGGGAATCACAGTCAAGAAGTCTACAAGTTAAAGAGCAGTAAATAATCATAATTTATTTATTTGTTCATAAAGTCACATCTTAAAAATTATAATTGGAAAGAAAATCTGGAACTGACAATTACACACACCTTTCAAACCAGCCCCTCAACATCCTTAGCTACTCACAGTCCTGTTAGAACGGTGAAACAAACTAATGAAAGACAACAGCCACTAAGCAAGGTGACTCAAAATGACTTTCCAGGAAGGACCAGTGGCATCCAGTCAACAGCCCATAGCTACTCACATGCATGCTACCTAAATCTCTGTGCTTGAGGTCTCCCATGTCACATGGGCCACACAAAATCTCTCTTCATTAGGTGTGATGAACCAATGCATTTCCATACAGCCAGCATCCAGTAGAGGGCTCCACACAGGAACTGCTCAACACACAGGAGGATGTTGCTGTCAAGGGCTGTGAGGCCACAAGACGGTTCAGCATGGAATTAGGATAAGGGGAGATTTGAAGAAAGAAAAAGAAAAGCATTTTTCTGTGGACACTGCTTTCATTTGGGCTTTGGAGAAATTCTATGATTCAGAAAAATAAAATGAAGGCCATGTAGTACTTATGTGGTGCTGAGGATCGAATCCAATGCCTTACCATGTGCCAGGCAAGCACTTCACCACTGAGCCACAACTTCAGCCCCCAGTTGTGGATTTTAAATCACAATCTATACACCTTTAAAATATATAATATTTAAAATAACCAAAAAACCAAGAGTGGCATAACTGATTCCTTTGTATTGATCCTGTCATTACTTGTCTGTTCTTGTATTTTACTGTTAAGCACCTGGAACACAGGAGACAGTCAATTAATAGCTGTAAAATGAGTGGATAAACCTTAAGACCGATTTCACATTTATATTTGCAGTGATCACTACTTGATTTCCTCCATAGGAATGAGCCTCGTGGTGATCTGTGCCTGAATGGGCCTTAAAGCCATCTGCCTCTCTGTTCCATCTGGTGTTGTTAACCACATGCAGTAAGGTGCTGCCCACTGCCTGTCACTGGCAAGCACTATGAGGGATGTAAAAGCATTTGTCAATTTCAGGTCTTCAGATCCATTTACTTTAAAGTCTGAAATCCAATATTATCTCTATATTTTTATAAAAATTTAAAGAATGCATTTAAGTAAGTATTTTACATGAAATCACAAGTATGAATGTATTATGTGGATCTGCGTGCACTAATGACTGTGATGGTTTTATTTGGCAGTTTACGTGTGAACTTGGATATGGGCAAAGCAGCCTATGGATGGATGATCATGAAAGATGAGAATATCCCTGGTACAGTCGTTCGGACCAGCACTATACCAGAGGAACTGGGGCGCCTCGTGTACTTATTGACAGATAAAACAGGTACTCTGTAGTCTGTTTTCCATTGAGAGCATCAGATCACATCCAGAAATGTTCCTGGTTTTACATGGACATGTGTGTGTTGTAAGAGAATGTTGAAGTAATATGTAGAATTTTCCAGACTCTGTCTTTGAAAGTTGTTCATACAACTTAATCTTCGTCTTCTAATATGCACAGTATCCTTCAGGTTAGCAAAATGTTAAGTTCTTGGGACTTTAAGTGACCTATTTCTGTACTTTGAATTTTCTATAATTCTATAATTTTATAGGTTTTTTTCTAACAGCCTTTATAACAGCAAAATGTTAAGTTCTTGGGTCTTTAAGTGACCTATTTCTGTACTTTGAATTTTCTATAATTCTATAATTTTATAGGTTTTTTTCTAACAGCCTTTATAACAGTTTTTGAGAGCAAAAATAAAATGCACATTTGTTTCTCATAAATGGATACTTCTGAGCTTTTAGAAGAAAACAAGGCATGTGAATTTGGTATTCTAATAATATTCTTCTTAAGAGTGTTACTGTAAAGTATTTATCACACCCTACAACTCTGTGCCCAAAACACTGCTTATCTTTAATTTGCATTTTTTTCTATTTTTATAAAAAACTCACATTAGTCCATCAAATGCTAAATAAAAAGATAAATAAGTCTACTGCTATAATAAAAGGTATAGCTTAAGGGTAAAATTCCTCCTTAATTTATCAACTCATAATTTTAAATTCCTAATGATTATTCATGAACTAGAAATGAAAGAATACTTATATAATGTGGTAAAGAAAATATTCCACATCATGTGTAATAATTACATAGTAGAAAAATTCTTGTAATCACCAGGAAGAAATGGAGAAATCTATATACAACACTATTACTTAGTATTTATTTTAGAAGATCTAGCCGTTGTAATAAGACAAGAAATCAAAATAATGTGTACAACTAAAGGAAGAGAGGATGTGTTTGAAGATATAAGAGTGAACTGCAGAAATCAACTTATAGCTACTAAGTCTTGAGAAATCAGTAAAGTGTCAGGTTGCAGATTAGGTTGTCAGGTTGTAACCCCTTTGTGTGTAGCTGTGGAACACACTGGAGAATAAAACTCCTTTCACGGTGGCACCTGTAGAGCACATGGATATGAACCTGCAAGGGCATGTGTGAAAAATGTAACAGAAGATTTAAATAAATGGAAATTCAGTATTCTGTAGGTGTAAGGTCTCATGGTAAATTTGTAAGCTTAGTGCCATTCAAAATCCACTTTTGGAGTTTTTGTTTGTTTGTTTGTTTTCTTTGGTATCAGGGATTAAACCTAGGGGCACTCAACCACTGAGCTAAGTTCCCAGCCCTCATTTATTTTTGTATTTTGAGTTAGGGCTTTGCTAAAAAGTTGCTAAGGCTGCCCTTAAAATTGCAGTTCTCCTGCCTCAACCCCTCAAGCCACTGGGATTACAGGTGTGTGTCATTGGGGTTTTTATTTGAATTTCATTCAAGTTTATTTTCTGTGGTACATTGAGGTACCTGACCAAGAAAGGATAATGCTCATGACTCCAGATAACTCACAAATAACAATTGAGGGCCTTCTGATTCATGAAGGTAGAATGAGAACATGTATTAGGGTTTCCCTTCCCAACCTCATAGAGCTGACAGAACAAAGTTTTAAAGAATAAATCTGTAAGGCTGGAGCAGTAGCTCAATGGTAGAGCACTTGCCTGACACTTGTTAGGTGCTGGGTTTGATTCTCAGCATCACATAAAAACGTAAAGATATTGTGTCTATCTACCATCTAAAAATATCTTCTAAACAAGAAGAAGAAATCTATTGCACTGATAACAAAAAAAAAAAAAAAAAAAAAAAAGCAAAGTACAATTAGAGTCACAGAAATGCGTTATTTCTAGGAAAGTTCTAGAACCAATTTGAGGGAGAAGCCAGAACAAAGCAAACCGAAGCTCACCTTTGCTTCCACAGAGAGCCCACTCAGATGGAGGGAAAGCTCTCCAGAAGGGAGTCCTGGAGACATATGGCCAGAAAGCCTGTGGGAGGACATGGAAACTCTGAGGGTCCCAGACAGCACCAGTCTGCCCCTTCCTGCCCATGCCTGTGAAGCTGATGACTGCCAGAGTCTACTGTGGGCCAGAACCGGAGCTGCCTTCTCCTCACTCGGAGGCCTGGGGAAGAATATGCTGATCGGCACATGAGTCCCCTGCATGAAACTCACAGACAGCACTCAGGAATGCCTGGAGAAAGTCCTACTTCACAGCCAGCCTTGTGCTGATTGACATATCAGTCAGAAGTGAAGATTGTACATGTAAAGTCAAGGTAGCAATATGAGCAAGCAGCATGTTCCTAAAGAAAAATACACAGCAAACCCAAAGGAGCTTTGGGAAAATTTTTAGGATTTAGGAACATTTGGTTTATATGAGTAGGCTCAATACACAATGAAGCTGCATTTTTACACACCACACCAGTAGACAAGACACTGGATATGGGAAATATCGGTGAGAGCACAACATAACCAGAATGCAGCTAAAAGTAAGTTTTAACCCAGAAACGTGTCAACCAAAGGTAAAGCTCTTAAAGAAGACCAAAAGAGACAGGCAGGCACCCCCTCCATGCTGGAACTGCCCATGGAGAGGACCTAACAGGCACACATTTCATGAGTGGGGTTTTTAAGTACAGCAAACATATGGCAAAGCAGGGCTTCCTCTAGGCTTTGGTACCTTGTAAGATAAGTTTTGCAGTATTTGTCAAATTGAAGTGTGTACCCCGCCATCCAGCAAGTTCACTTCTACTTCTGTTCCCTAAAGACACTTTTGCAAATCTATGTCACAAGATATACACAAGAATTTTTTTAGCATTATTTTGGTCAACGAAAGCAAACAACTAATTGTCTAAATATAATTAAAAAAAAAAAAAAAGTTGGTCAGGAGTAGAATAGATAACCTGTGCCATGTCGTTCAGCTGAGTATTGAACAGCGTGACAGCTGAGCACAGGTCCTTAGGTGCTCACAGGTGGGGTTCAGACATAATATCAAGCTAAGAAAAACACACAAGAAAAATCAATAGTGTTGACTGACAAAGATTTAAACTATAAAAGATTAAGCCATTTAATATGTAAATAAAAATTAGTGGTAAAGCTGTAATGAAACAAAGAAAAGACAAATCATTAAGACAAATCAGAATCAAAAGATAGTTGATATGTCTTCCTTAATACCAAGCCGAATGAACTTTTAAAGCATTATTCAAGGAAGAGGATTGCTGCATAAAAATAGTAGTTGCAAGTCTAAGTGTTTGTGCCCTTAAACAGCCTCAATCCACAAACAAGAATCAATAGACTACAGGAAGAAACTGATTATTACAGGAAGAAATTTTAGCTTCTCTTTAAATTATTGATAAGCCAAGCTGGCAGGAATCAGCCACAATATATAGAATTTGATAGAACCATTGCCAGCTTTGCCCTCCTGCTCACAGATGACATTGTCCATCTGACGCTGGTAACGGGCATTCTCATCAAATATGGAATACTCACAAAGGTTGGACATGAGTTAGGCCCTGATTCAATCAGTGAATTCCAAAGTGTAGGGATACCTGCCTAAAATTAAAAAAGAATAAAAGGTAGAAGTTTGGGCTGGGGTTGTGGCTCAGAGGTAGAGAACTTGCCTAGCATGTGTGAGGCACTGGTTTTGATTCTCAGCACCACATTATGAATAAATGAATAAAATAAAGGTCCATCAACAACTAAAACAATATTTGGAAAAAAAAGTAGAAGTTAATCATAAAATGATAAGTTCTTTAATCTCAGTATGTTGCGAAGTTGAAGAATACACTTTAAAATGACACATAGATCCAAAAAGACTTAGCAGAAATTTAAAAATTCTTTGCCAAGCACTGTGGTGCACACCTATAATCCCAGCAACTCTGGAGGCTGAGGCAGGAGGATCCCAAATTCCAGGCCAGTCTCAGCAACTTAGCTAGGCCCTAAGGTCTCACCTTAGTGAGACCCTCAAAAAGGGGCTGGGAATGTGGTTCAATGGCTAAGCACCAGTTCAATCTCCAGTACCAAAAAAGTTAAAAAAATAAAAAAATAAATAAAAATTATCAGAACTAAATGATAGAATTGTTTGCCATCAAAGCCGGTGGGATGTTTTAAAAGCAATGCCTTATAGGAGCTTTCCTCCATTTTTAATAGAAAAAGAAGAGAGGCTAAAAACTGATAATCTTTGATGGCCAACTTAGGAACAAGAAAACAAAGCCAAATGCATAGAAGAAAAAGATCTTAAGACACAAGAGCAGAGATAAATGATATGGTACACAAGACATCAAGTAGGGCATGATGGTGCACCTGGGGCCCAACTCGTCTGCTCGCCATAGGTTGCTTGAGCCCAGGAATTTGGGCCATCCTGGGCCACACAAAAAGACCCTGTCTCTATTCTTTAAAAAATTGGCCAGACCAGGTATGGTGTCACACACCTATAACCCCAGTGTTTGGAAGGCTCAGACAGGAGGATCACAACTTCAAGTCCAGCCTCAGCAGCTTAGGCCCTAAACAACTTATCAAGACACTGTCTCAAAATAAATAAAAGGGCTGGGAATGTGGCTCAGTGGTTAAGTGTCCCTGGGTTTGATCCCCAGTGCCAAAAATAAAAAATAAAAAAAGCCTTGGCCAAATGCAAGTTGAAGGCTGAGGCAGGAGGGTCTTGAATTCGAGACTAACCTGGGCAACTGAGCAAAACCCTGTCATAAATTTTTAAAAGTTGAGGGGCTGGGGATATAGCTCAGTGGTAAAGTGCTTGCCTAGCATGTATGAGGCAATGGGTTACATTCTCAGCACCACATATAAATTAATAAATAAATAAAAGGTCCATCAACAACTAAAAAATATTTTTTTTTTTAAATGAAAGCTATTAAAACATTCTGAGGAAACAGTTGTAGCACTCCGAACAATGAAAGAGAAAGGTAGGTTAGAAACCCCTGACACCAGCCCTTCAAGACATGCACTCTCAACATACACAAAACTT